GGCAAGATACTGAACCGTGAATTGGCCCCGATTCCACTCGCACTCAAGAGTACGAGTTTCACGTGGTTGTTAGACAAGATGTTTAGATACAGAAGGAAGCAAGTGTGTGTGTGATTGGTTGGATGAGGGTTAGAGAGGAAGGTTATAATTTACAGGCTATAGTATGTAAACTTTAATAAACATGGATCACGAGCACACAGATGTTGTTTAAACATGGCTGACGTGGGTACAGGATTATTGACCTGCTTCTAGAAAACAAAAAACAGATTCTCCAGTATTTAGAAAGGTCGAATCAGCTTTGCTTTCCATTGTTTTGTTCTGTTTACATGAGGTCTCATATCTCATCCCCAAGCTTAATGGGTTAATATGAAACTACCTCCAGTAGATGGCGATAAAGTCTCACTGACAACTATTTGATGTTGATTTTCCGCTCACGACTTTGAATCCCTCGCACCCATTGTGTTCACTCATTAAAACATTCATAAACACGCCACCACCTTCTGCATCTATGGTAATATGTGTGCCCACGCACAGCCCGAGGGGACAAAGTGCATGATGGGAAGAACAAAACATACTGGAAAGATGTCAGAAGCAAACACGATGCCAACACACACAGGCTGTCGCAGGCTGACACTTCCTCTGTGGCATTCCTAAACCATAAGACTGCAGTCATTAATATGTTTTAATATCAATTAGACAATCATTTGTATTTCTACACTGTTGGCGCTACCTCGCGCTCCCTGTTGCAGATCGTTTAGTTGTGTTTGTAATTAACAGAAGACGTCCTGATTGGTTTGGTTTTAATCAGATAAATAAAAGCAGGTAAAAAGACACGTTTAATACCATTTCATACGTGTTTGTCTTTGAGTCTAATGACCAAGAGAGAGTGCACACGCACTCAAAAGGCCCTGCAGCTTTCCCCTCCTACAGTAACTGCTCCCCCGGTCTGTCTGCAGAGCTGTAGCCTCAGGGAGCTGAACACTGATAACTGCTGCAGTGATGGGAGCCAGCAGGCCGCCTGGCTCCTCACATACCACTAAGATCTGCTTATTGTCCCAGCAGCCTCCCAGATAACATATTTATACCTCCTACCTGGTCATTCCAGTTTTCTCATAAACTCCGGGGTGCAGGGAGGTGATATCACGTCTTAAGCAGAGGTAAACAGAGAGGTTGGTTTGTCAGACACTAATAGCAAACGGCAACACAGAACAAATTCACACGTTTGGAGAAATCATGCTTTTACAGTCGCGTACCGTCACCCACACAAGCCGAAGAACATTGTTTTGGTAAAGTCCAAGAGAGGGAATTTTGGAATAGTTCAACTACAACGACGTGTTGAAGGCGTATGTGTCAGTCTCCAGTTTAACCTAGCTCACACATAATTATTTGGCAGGACTCTGGGACTGAAAATATTGCAGTGCTGAGGTCAATCAGAGGTAGACTTACGTGACAAAACTGAAGTGGCTGAAACAGTCTTCGTTTTGTTACGCTGTCATGAATTCAATACATGTTTTAGGAAAATTGTGTCTTATTTGTATTTGTTACATTCAGCCCTCCTCCCCATCCATGCACCTTCTGTCCACTCTGTGAGGCTGCCTGAGAGCTTAATCATCTTTATTATCTAACAGTTTAGGTAATAATTTGAGGAAGGGGCTCGTTATGTTTATTCTGTTTAGTTTTCCACAACAACAGTTGCCTCAAGGTGCTCTATATCAGC